ACACATTTTTGCATCATGTATGCTATTTATTTGTGCAACATTTGCCTCTCTCTCTCTCTCTCTCTCTCTCTCTCATCTGTCTGTCTATCTACCTGTCTGTCTGTCTGTCTGTCTGTCTCTATCTATTTATTATCTATCTCTATCTACCTGTCTCTCTCTCTCTCTCTCTTATCTGTCTGTCTGTCTCTCTATCTCTCTATCTCTATCTATATTATCTGTCTATCTCCATCTACCTGCTTGCCTCTCCCTCCCTCCCTCCCTCCCTCCCTCTCTCCAAGAGTTCCTTACTAGCAATCCATCACACTGAAGGGGAAGGGGCCTGTTTTCTCCCGCCAGTGAAAGCATCCTCTCCTTCCCCAGGTCTTACCTGCCACCACTGCAGACAAAGTTATCAGGAGGACCGCAACAGCCAACACTAGCTTCATGGTTGCACCTCCTGCTGGAGCAAAAAATAAAATGTTTAATAAAAATAAAATACAATAAAATAATAAAGCAAAAGAAAATAAGAATGGAATAGATAATAATAATGATGATGATGATGATGTAGAGTAGAATAGAACAGAACAGAACAGAGAGTAGAATAGAGTAGAGTAGAGTAGAGTAGAGTAGAATAGAGTAGAATAGAGTAGAAGTAGAGTGTATAGACTAGACTAGACTAGACTAGACTAGAACAGAACAGAATAGAGAGTAGAGTAGAATAGCAATCGCAATCACAATCGCAATAGCATGATGGCCAGGCAGAATAAAACCCCAGATTCAGATATTCCTCTGATTACATAGATCAACCAATGTCTGCAATTTCATTTTAGATTTCCAAAATTTGCAGCCGAAACGGACGTCCACAGATCTGAAAGCCGCACACCAGGTATGCATGCTACGTATGGCAGATAATCTTTCTTAGTAAGGCATTTTACTTCAGTGCCCCATAACCGTCTCCTGGAGCTGCAGAATCACAAGATTTGTACAGGGGGTGTCCTGCTTGGAATCGCTCCCTTGATGGGTGCTCTCCAGGATGAACCGAAGTCCAGTGTGCAAAGGAAGAGAAAAGATGCAGTGGAAAAAGCAGAAAAATTGCAAAAGGGTAAACACCCTATTGGTAATGGACTAATAGCAATTACTAGTACTTGGCTAATAATTGATTGGCCAATAGAAATACCAATTACTGAATAGCAATTATATAACAACGTTGTATAATATATAAAAAAGGTATTATTATTATTATCAGATCTTCACGTGTTCCTCATTCAACAGACAAAACCACCATCCAGGCCTCAGGGAGTGTCCAAAATATAAGGATGAAAAACCTCAGCTGCCTGGCTGTGATTTGACTTTTTTGACCTCCCTAGACTTTCTTTCTTTCTAAGTTTTCCACACTGGTGTTTTAACAATCCTTGCTTTATGCTTCAGCAGAGGGAAGCACCCTAAACATGCGTGGGGGAAAACTCCATCCTCAGGATGCAGAATCACAGAGTTAGAAGGGACCTTAGAGGTCTTCTAGTCTAACCCCCTGCTCAGGCAGGAGACGCTCTACCAGTTCAGACAAATGGCTGCCCAATCTCTTCTTAAAAACCTCCAGTGATGGAGCACCTACAACTTCTGGTGGCAAGTTGTTCCACTGCTTAATTGTTCTCATTATTAGGAAATTTCTCCTTACTTCTAGGTTGCTTCTTCCTTGATTAGTTTCCATCCATTGCTTCTTGCTCTACCTTCAGTTGCTTTAGAAAATAGATTGATCCCCTCTTCAGAAATGTTTAATTTTGATTATCTTACTTTCATTTTTAACTGTTTTAATATAATAATTATTTATGGTTTTTATATTTTTAGGGTTATTCATACACCTCCCAGAGTCGCTCTACAAAAGGGATGGGTACTTTCTAAACATGATAAATACACAGCCTAAATAAAATAAAATGTGTTGTTTATTGATTTCGGAAATGGTTTTGTCTCGTCAAAACAGGACAGTGGAACCACAGATGCTCCAGATGGTCTAGATTAAGAAATACATTAAAGGATCGAACCAATTCTCTATTAATATTTTTGTGAATATAATTTAATCTCTTGAAAGAAAAATCATTTTAATCATGCTTCCGTATCTTTTTATACTGGCAAAACAGTTTAACATATACAGAAGAGTTAAGTATTATATTTCACTTAAAAATTAAATTTTCATTTCATTCAAATTCATTACACTTGGGTGGGGGGTTGTTGTCCTACTTCATTAATTTTAAAAAAATCAATAACACAAGAAGTCACAGGTGTCAAACCCAAGAATGTCCCCGAGACGAAACATAGCAAAAATGGAAAAATCTCTTTTTACGTTTCTAAGCCACCAACGCTGCTAATATCAAAAAAAAATGAAAGTCTTCATCCTTAATCACCCCCATAACATATTCTCCATAAATCCCCCATGCTGATGTTTTGTTTGGTATTAATTAGACCAAAAAACATCTAGTTATTTTAAAATGATAAAGAAATCATAGTGGTTTTTTTTTTCAAGCTGAATGATTTGATGGGAACCTTCTTCCCTCTCCATGCTAACCAAAGTTGGTCTTAAGTCTTCCCAACCCTCTTCCGTTGCCATTTACTTACTTGTAGCTGTGAGTGGAGACAATATTCCTGAGTGGAATTTGCAGCTCCATCCAGTTGCTGCTCCCTATAAACCTGCCTCCATCCTCCGTCATCGCCCCCCTCCGGCAAAGGATTAAAACCTGACCCAATCTTTTTTAATCTCCTCCCTGCAGTCAGATTACTTCATTTTCTGCAGGAAATGAAACATCAGCCAGAGATGGATTATGAGTTTTTGTTTTGTTTTCCCTCCTTATGTGTGCCATCCAGTTTTTTCTGCCTGGAAGATTATCCAAGGCAGTAAAAGGGGAAAAAAAGGGGTGGGGGGAGGGAAGGAAAGGAAGAAGGGATTAAAAACAGGAATGGAGAAATAATACTTCTCCAATTATTTGCAGCTTGAGCAATTTTGGGAAAATGGGAAAGTTTCTACTTTCTCTGTCGGTGAGAGTCAACTACCTTTCAAAGATCTTTAAGCGATGGGATAGGAAAGTTTTACTTTTTTAGAAATAAAAAGTAGACTGTGAGTCATAAGAAGCAGACATTTTATCTTTAACATTCGGAGGGACCGATCCAGGGGAAGGCAGGCCCTAAACTTCCAAACAGAATGAATTATTAAAAAAACATGAATTATAAAAAATATAATATAAAACATCTTGACGTCCCTGAAGGTGCCGACTAATATACCAGCTAAGTTGCCCGTTGTGTTTTTTTTAGATGTCGGGAAAAGCAAGCAGATATTTTTAAACTTTTGATATATTAAAACAAGCAGGTGGTTTTGCTTGCCCCAAATGCAAGCATACACAAACACGCAGAGGGGCTGTTGTTAGCCTTGGAATTTTCCTTTTTCTTTAATGCCATTTAGTTCATTATCAAGTGTTTTCAGAGAACATTGGGAAAGACAGGCGCTCTGATTCATTAGCAACGAATCCCAGAGCCCGCTTAACTATGCCAAGAACAGAGAAGTGGGAACTGAGAGAAAGAAAAATGGGAAGCTATTGTTAGCCCCGAGTAAAAGCCGAGAGGTACTGCATGCCGAGTATCTTGGAAGGGCTTCAAGAGGTATTTCGACCGCCAAAAGCCCTGGTTTCAAAACTTTGTATTACCAGCTTTTCTTTTTTTGAAAAGAGGCCTTAGCAAGCATTGAGAACTTTCTCTGTTCGATAGAGTAGAACATTGCTTCCCCATTGGGTACACTTCATAAAGCCATGTTTTTCAAATCTTGGCCTCTTTAAGATGGATGGACTTCAACTCCCAGAATTGGCTGGGGAATTCTTGGAGTCGATGTCCACCCCTATCTTAAAGTGGC